TGTTACAATGTTATCACCATCAGTTTCGCGCGTTTTGTGTTATCGCAAATTCGTGGCGATGGACTCAACAAGTATTTTTTGCACAAATGACGCCATGTGCTGTGCGTCATGACGTCATCTATCATCCTTTCCTTATCAATTCGCAATATTTGAAGACGTCGGGGGTTGACAGCACAGCTATTTTCAAAGTCAAGTGTAATGTTCTGTTAGCCTTTCTTTCTTGTTTCCTTGTTTTCTTTTGCTCTTCGTTAAGGACCAAATAGCTTCTTTTCAATTAAAGCAAATCGTTGTGTTTTCGAACTAAGTGTTCCGTGCGTGTATTTATTTCAATGCGTGATTGCGACCGAGTTTGATTATGGAGTTACAACCGCTTCAGAGTACTGCATGCAGTTGATAGTTTGAACCATAAACATGAATTACGATCGAGAACGGTAAAGTCATTCTGTATCATGCAGACATTTCCAAACGATATTTCTTGGTTTGCCACTTGAAAATCGTGTTTAACTTTTTGCATGAATTAAAGCAAAGGAGTAGTGACGCCACTGGACGGCATTAACGGCTGGTCGATTCGTACGTTACTGAGGAAATAACGACTCGAAGTAATCGGATGAAATTCAGGCTACGATATCAATCGATAGAGAAAAAAGTTGTGACTTCGATTACTGCGTTTTTCACAAACACGCGAACGCTAAAGTTCAAAAGCCGCCTTCACAATTGCGTTTTTCGCTGCCGTCAATCATAATTACGATCACAAGCAAAGATTCCAAAGAACCTTGAAACACACTAGACGGATAGAAATCCACCAATCACAGATCACAAACCATGATCTTTTGAACCCGTTTAAGTAAAGTTCTGTTTCCTAAGAGGTCCGCTAAGATGATTGACAGGAGCGAGAAACGCGAACGTCAGTTGGCTTTTGAACTTCAGAGTTCGCGTGTTTTTGAAAAGCGTAGTAATATCAATTTCCATTCGAAATCGATAATAGTTGATTTATTTTTTGTTATCAGTTATTATCGATTATTATCAGAAAAGACTAAGTCATTCGGTAGAAGGTCAACATTAACACGATGTTCTCTGCACGGAATTATTGAGTCATTAAAGTCGTGAGATGCAGTTTTTTTAATTGATAAAATACTATGATTTGTATGTACAATGACATAAAAGCTTTCGCCAAACCAAGTGCGACCCCTTACGCCAAAAGATGGCAGCGATCAGCATCTGGAGGACTTCAACGCCCGTGTATATACGGCATTGAATTGGATTCCAGCGTAAGCGAGATTGCAAAGAAAGAAATGCAAGATGCAGTCGATGGCACAGGATTGAATGGACACGTAAAGATCTGTTAAAACCAAAGGAAAAAAATGCATAAAACGCGATGAAGACTACGCCTGGAGTAGTTGCTGAGGTCAAAACTAAAATGTGTTAAGCTTAAGCCGGTCTCATGGGTGTTGCTTGCCAAACAGCATCGTCGTGTTCAGAATATACTTAAGATTATTGCTCGTTATCGATTACTGTCGATTGTTATCGACTTTTTGTTAATCGATAATAATCGATAAATTATTTTTTCTGTGACTTCGATTTCTATCGATTTCCGATACCAATCGATAACAATCGGCAGATTAAATCGATTGATAAGATTATATCGATTGATTTCTGATATCGATTTCCTTCGATTAACAACGCCTGGTTAACACCTAAGTTAACAGTTACGTTAACAGGAGGGCACTACCAGCATTTGCAGTTTTTTTTGGAGTGAATAACGTATATTGCGAGCTACGCTCGACAAACGTGTTCTTTAAGGTATCGAGGTATTTCCACCATGAAAGTCAGTTTATTGTAGCCTCGCTGTCGCCCTTGAGAGGACAGTTTTTCCTTTCGTAAAACAGTACATCGAGGAAAAATCGGCGGCCGAATGTTGCGCACATTTTTTGAGCAACAGGAAAAGGTCAGTACAATAACTTTTCATTAAACAATTAAAATTATTCTCAACAGTATAACTCAAAAATTAAACTTAATCGTTTAAGGAATACAGTGGTTAATAAAAAATGTCCCTTTTTCCAGTGAAACTGCATTTTCACCCTTTCGCTGGATTGTTTATCTCGAAATCTCGCCTTTCTCCACACATTAATTTATAGTGATTAATGAGACTAAAAACACTTCCGCGAATGAAAGGTGCTTTGATGAAGGCTTTGAAAAATCGCCTTCTGGACTAACTTTAGCTCTCTTCACCGGCACGTTTTCGTTGAGAAATGAAATACACGCACTTCAACATTTCATTCATAGAGGATGTTTACTGAGACGCAGCTTCTCCTCTGTATTGAACCACATTCTTTTTGAATGCATCAATATCTACCTGGCGATTCTTTCTAATTGGGTTCTACGTACGATTTACATAAAGGGCTCATCTGGATACAGTAAAAAGCTCTCAAAAGAAGCATTTTTTCTTTTAAGAGCTTTTTTTAAAATAAGAGAGAAATTCACCCATCCATTTGTGTCATGTTTGTTGTCGAATTCCAACTGATTTGGTTGCTTTATCAGTAATATTATATTTCTTTTTTGAGAAAACAGCATGAAATGCATCCCTCTAACAAACTTCCTGTCTTATGCTTTAACAGGCTTTGAAGGTGAACAAACATCGTTAGTTAGATTTATGGAGAAACGGCCACTCTCTGTTTTATATGCATCACTACTGTAATCAAATATAACTTAATAATAAGAAACGATTGTGGAACAAAGGAGCTGTTATTCAAGAGTCACTTCAAAAGAGTAGCTTAGGGAATATCTCCGTATCGTTCAGAGTTAAAGGAAAATAAAAGTATTATTCGTTTATTCTGGATACATTTGTATTGTCTGCAAGTAAGCTTATGAAATGCTCAAAGTCCGTAGTTGTTAGGATTATTTTAGTTATTTTAGTTGTATGCACGCCTTGCGTACCTGTCGTTTTTTTGTGCCTGTATTGAATCGTGGGATTGAAAAGAAACCATGTGCTTCGCTTGAGCGCTTGAGATGTAAAGTAGTTTCGCTCTTCGTTTCTGTGGATTAAATCATGATCATAAAAGCGACCTAAACGCGGTCTACTCATTCTTTACAAAAGTCCACAATCACTTGTATATTGTTGCTGTCTCAGACTGAATCCATTGTTCATTTCTCGAACCACTTAATGTTGTGACTACATTTTTATGTAAAACTTTAAGATTATATTCAAATAAGCTTAGCTGTTTATACGCAGAATTCGGATTGACGGCCGATCGAGAACAGAAATAATGCATGCGGGTTATTTACTTTCTCTTCGCAGTTAAAATTTTCAATGTTTGTTCGAAATGAATAGTGTCTTTCTACTCGTGTAACCTTTGTTTATGCGAGTTTTTATAGCGCATTTGCTGAATGAAAATGATATAAACATCTTTGAGATAATCAAAACTCGGCATTTCGACACTTCAAACTACATATTCAGTAATCGGAGAAGTCCATCTTCTTAATCTAATAAATGAACTATTACTATTTCTATTTATTTCTTTCATAATTGGTAGGTATTCATGGGCGAAAAAATAAAAACTGTGTAACCAAAACTTTCTTCACCAATTTTACTCGACGTAATTGCTTCCCCAAGTAAGGAAGAATTTGTTCATTATTCTTAAGATAAGATCACATGCAAAATACTTGCATTTTTGTGAACTGAACATGAAAACAAGAAAATCTTTGCGTGATGCTTCCCTCTCCGCCTCTTCTCTCGTAGTCTGCTGTCTGTACTGCAATCTTAACGTTCTATATTTGCACGACTCAAACCAGTGCTACAAACACAGGACAACGCTCGCCTAACCGTAGTTCGTAGTCCGTAGTCACCTTATCTAAAAGTCCCTAATACCAAAGAATGTCGGTCGTTTCGCCAACAAGTCGTTTCGCCAACGGTCGTTTCGCAAACGACATCAGTTCGCAAACGTGTAGAAGTCAGTTCGCAAACGTTATAAACATTTATATGTGTAGAAGTCAGTTCACACACTGTGTAGATTTCCGCTGTCAACGTTTGAGCATACAAACTAACTCTCAAGCTTAAGTCATACAGTCTTGTAGTTGCCGCCATCTTGGAATGAAATATTAACATGGTTGCTAAGTGACGTACGTGAAAGTCTCAATGTCCTTCGCCTCCATTTCCCGTTCCGCTAGTACCTCTGGTTCTATCGCTCGCTTTGGCCACAGGAATGTTTAAATGAAGTTGCTGTAATACACAAACATATTTATTGCTTACAATTAAAACGAATTACATGCAGGGACGTGTGGGCTGTCCGAGTGACACCCGCCCCAATAAAGACAATTTCAAATTCTGAGCAAAAAAAGACAAGTGCCGTGAACTACCCTTAACTTAACCGATTCATTGCAGTTAAAATATACCTTATTACATGCGAGGACGTGTGGGCGATCAGAGTGACACCTGCCCCTATAAAGACAATCTCAAATCACTGTATTAACTACTATTAAAACCGATTCATTTAAATTAAAATACCGTAAAATTCCGAAAATAAGCCCCTGCATGTATAAGCCCCTCCAAATATAAGCCCCCCAAAATCATGACGCAAAAAACCCACCATTAAATCGCCCCTCCGAATATAAGCCCACGGGGGGCCTGTACTTGGAATTTGCCCTCGAACACAAAGTAAAACAAAGCAAAAATGGTAAATTTCCTTTCCACTACAATCTAGCCTAACCGATTTGATAACGTAAATTTCCCTCCGTACATAAGCCCCTCCGAATATAGGCCCCTCCAAATATAAGCCCCTCAAAAAGGGCCTTTGAAAAATATAAGCCCCGGGGCTTATTTTCGGAATTTTACGGTATACCATACTGCATGCGGGGACGTGTGGGCGATCAGAGTGACACCCGCCCCTATAAAGACAATTTCAAATCATTATGTTAACTACTATTAACTAAACCGATTCATGCTAATTATAGTAATATGCCTACCCTAACGTTAAGTACTTTTAACTAAACCAGTAATATTCATTTTACTTTGCACGTGCTGGGCCGTTTAGATGAGAACAGAACTGCGAGGCGGTCTTCTGCCGGTTGTCATACTGCTCCCAGTGTTCAAAGAACTTGGCTTGTAGATGTCTGTAAGTTTTACGCTGCATGCGCTCCAATTTCCTCTCGGAGACCAGCCTAATGGTGACAGCTCTAAGCTTCGCCTCCCTGTCCAGTAGCTCAATCAGAAAATATAACGGCAGTCCGCATTGCCCACCAACTCTGAGATTAAGGGCGTTATGCCAACTATCGATGTCATTGTTGGCACGAATTGGTTGTTTATAGATGCTCCAGTCCTTTGGTGTAAACACGGGGTTCTCGATCCACTGGCGTTTCATGTAGTCGACGAGATCCAGAAGGGGCTGTGCTTGGGTCCGTACACTCAGTCGAACGAACATCGGCGTGATCTCGTGAAATGGCTGGAAGGGAAGGGCCATCAGCTTCTTGATGTATCTGAGAACACTGTCGTCACTGGAGTAAGCCGATTGAAGTCTGAGCTCTTGTACCTTTTAGAAAGAAAACAAATTAACATAACTTATTGATTTAGCCATAGTAACAATCGAGTAGATTCATGTAATAATACGCGTCAGTTTGGTGAGTCATATTGAATTATGTAATTAGCCTACTTGTCGTCTCGTCCCCCTTGCATTTGTAATCTTTTTTATTTGTTACTCGGTAACAAATAACTTACTTACTGAGTCATTGTAAATTGTGTAATAAGCCTCCTTGTCGTTTCGTCCCCCTCGCATTTGTAATCTATTTCATTTGTTTGCGTTTACTAACCTTTCTCCACACTGCTTGTGTCCAGTGAAAGACACAGCCTTGTATCTTTACTGCAGGCAGGATTGATCTAAACGCAAGCCACAAGGCCTTCTCAAAATCAAGGGTAACCCGTTGGACAGCTGGTTCTTCACTCGGCAGCAAGTCAATGAGCCTCCTCAATACCTGTTAAAAAGACAATGTAGAGAAGCGTATAATTGAGACGTGACATCGAGAGTGCCTCAGTGAAAATTAAACATTTACATGTGATTTAAATGGAATTGCTCTACCTTTTTTAGGTAAGCATACGTTCACTACACATTAGATACTAAAATCTCTAATACCTTCTTATAGTCTTTTCCTTTCTTGTTTGACATAAGGGCAAAATGCCAGTGGCACTTGTTTCGCGTCCTCGCCGGCGGTGATGGTTACGAGCTGTTTGAAGGGATGTCGTACTTGCTTGAAGGTGCCATCGACGTACCAGGACTTTGCTATGGCCAAAGTTTGCAGCTGTTCTGGTCTTGCAAATATGAGGTGGCGTGGGTTCTTCACTTTTACATCAGCCTGTTAGAATCCTTGGGGAATACAGTCTTCTATCAGCTCGAAATTCAGGTCCTTCTGGTCTTCAGGTCATAAACTTTGGCGCAGGCGGTTGGCGGCCCTCGCTATGTACTCAGGTTTGGGAAGGGCTGGGCACGGGGCTTCCGTCAATTCGTCCAGCAGGACCTAAATAGGAACAGGTCAATGGAGTTACAGTTAAACTTGGTTCTTATTTTAGGCATGATTATCATCTAAACTGTATAGAGTACCGAAGTGTGACGTCATAAAAAATGAAATTTGTGAAATTATGGGATTTGTTAAGATATTCCGAAAGAACAACGTCCAAGACGCCTACTCGCCAAAAATTAGCAATTTGGGGCAGATTGTCTCTGAGATATTAACCCAGTTATGCTCCGATGACTCCATACAAATCCTTCTAAATCTTACCTGGTTCCTAATCTTATGAACCAAGCCAAATTTAGAAGGATTTGTATGGAGTCGTCACAGCATAACTGGGCTAATATCTCAGAGACAATTTGCCCCGAATTGCTAATTTTTGGCGAGTAGGTGTCTTGGACGTTGTTCTTTCAGAATATCTTAACAAATCCCATAATTTCACAAATTTCATTTTTATGACGTCATCACTTCGGTACTCTATTCTAGAGAATTATTTGACAGAACAATATATTCCACATCACATTATCAGCACGGGGTTCATTAAGGGCCGGGCACCGGGCAAATTGACCGGCTGTGAACACGACTTTGCCCGGCTGCTTTACATCTCAAAGAACAACTTTTTAATACGAGGAACGATCAAAAACAGTTTTAAGTTACAATCGTGCCCTTTTCTTGATGAGTCTTAGCGAGTGTAAAACATACTTTGCCGGCAATTTCCACTTTATTACACGCGGAATGAAATCCCCTCGTTCGTTAGATGTGTTAAAAACAAGAATCGCCCCATAACACATTGCGAAAAGAACTGTACTTCATAAACGACCACCTGAAATGTATCAGTGTTGCGAGCATGTGAGCATGGCGGCCCAGAAAAGAACGCGTTCGATAGCGGATTATTTTTCGGCTTCAACCAAAGGGCCTCCAGTAGAGAAAAGGCCAAGAGGTGAGTAGACTTCTTTGTGATTTAACCTTTTACTTGCCGGTATATACTGAATGGCTTAATCATCATCTTCAACGAAGCGAAGCGTGATTTTTTATTCGTCTTACGGTTTACGCCAATGAATTAATTTTCGGTGCGTTCACGTTAAAACAATGCTCCTCCCGTCTAGTCATTGAAATTTTAAAGATAAGATGTAGACTCTGACCCTAACTCTGATTACGGCTCAGATGCTGACAGTGACTTTGAGTAAAGATTATTATGAGCAGAGCTATTAAAAGAGAACCAAAAAGTCCAATTTGTGTGGTGGGTATTGGTATCAAATCATGATTAAATTGTCTAGAAAAGTTATCTTTTTTTGGTTGTTGAAAGTCATTGTCTGCAACTTCAAAATGCAGGAAAACACATCCCTGCGACTATAGAATTTCAAAATTTTCCGTGGGGAACATGCCCCCAGACCCCCCTAGGGAGGCCCTCCGGGCCTTGCCAATTCTTTACCCGGGTGTCAAACTCAGTTGCCCTCCTGTTCAAAACCTTAAATAACCCTCTGGATAAATTATCAAATTGTCTGTGCTTGTTTAGGAAGTGTTTGCTAATGTAGCGTTGTAATTACCTCGTTCACTATCGCCGAAGCTGGCTTGAACTTGTTCTCCAGCGCCTTGGTTTTAACCGTAGTGACGATCTTTCTCGCAGTTGCAGCTCCAACTTCCGCCGTGTGGTTATGGGAATTCTTCCCCGCTTGGAATGTTCCGTCTCTTTCTGTTACCGAGGCCTTACAGGGGTTGCCTTTTGGACGGACCGTGCACTGCCAATAATAAGTATCGTAGGATGATCTCTTGGCATTTATGTTATAAGTAAATCCAAGGCCATCGACAAGCGTGTGTCACCCGCGTTTGGTTCCCTCTTCCACTAGAGGGTAAGTAAATGAGGCCCGGAGGTCGGCAATGACGTCGCGGCTTGGCAGTGGCTCAGTAATTGAAGACTCGGTGAGGCAATCGTTATCTGAAATAAACGTCAAAAATTACATTAATTATAAAAAGAGAAATCGAAGAGTGATTTATGATTATGGTGATTCTGACAAACTATTACTTTCTCGTCTGGTCTCAATCCCTGAGGAACGAGAGTTCGCCTTCCTACCGGAAAACAGGAGGTTGAAAGTGACAAATGAACGCCACTTTCGACTTCATTCTTTAAACAGGCTATAAACTCAAGTCTTCAAATACCGTTTTATGACAAACCATAACCACTACTGATTTAGAAACTGACGTAATCAAAACACGGGGATACCCTAATTACTGCCAGACCAATCGGCTCCCGCTATGACAGCCCCGCCAACATTTAAAGGGAAAAGCGCCTTGGGAAGGTTGTGCTTAAGGCATACCGTTCAAAAGGACAGCCGATTCGGGACGACTTCGGAAATTCTCGAAATCATCCAATATGGCGGCCCAAGGGCGGCGAAAACTGAGAGCCAAAGGAGCCGTTTTATCGCCCGGGGAGCGTGATGTTACGGTATACTTTGCGATGCTTGAGATTCCTATGTTCTTTGAAAAATCTCCGACCTTTTACCTTAAGCAATTGCAGAAAAATGTCTCATTGAGCAGTCCGGTCCGGCTGGCTGGTACTACCGAATCAAAGAGTACTGTCCAGCAGGACACATAAAAATAAAAGCAGGATTTGTTTGCTTTTACATTAATGTTACATTGCAATGTAGACCTTGCTTTCTGTGGGTTCCTATAAGCCCAGAATAGGCAAACATGAGTGGTTCTATTTCCGAAAATTGCCTTGTCCTCTTGAACCATATTTCCTTAGAGAGTAGTACAGCCCAGTGGAACGTTTGAAACTACAACGGCATTTGTTTCTTTTTACATCAGGTTTGGCTATTTGTTGTTACATTGCGATGCAGTCGTTGTTTCTAGAGGTTTCTAAAAGCCTGGGATAACTGAACAGGACTGATTTTATTCTTTAAAAATCGTCCTGTCCTTTTGAATGGTTTAAGCCAAGAAAATAGTACCACACAGCAGGTTATCTGACATTACAGCAGCATTTGTTTGCATGTACAAAACATTTAGCAGGCTTGCAGCTGGCAAGAGACAAGGCAAGGCGCTTATCTCACCTACATATTTTTAACCCAAAATTTGAATGGGAAATAATGAAAAACTGCCGAAAATCCGTGTTTCAAGGAAATAGCCACCCTTTTCAGGGGCTCACACCTTTGGAAACTGCAGATCTTGCCTCGTCTAATTTAAAAGCCTGGTTACCACGTGACTTTAGCTTTCTACTGTATAATTTTTTGTATCATAGGCCTTGCCAATTGCTTTCTCACAATGAGCAATATTGGTGCTCAGTGGTCTTATCCCTTTGGGCAGAGTTATCTAAGGGGATAGTATTGCTCAGAGCGGCCTTATTAATCATATCAGCAGTCAATTATGTAAATGATATCCTTTCTTTCAACAGCTGCCTGGTTAGCTCAGTTGGAAGAGCGCTGGTCTGCTGAGTGGGAGGGGAGATCGTGAGTTCAAACCCCGGCCAGACCATCAACCAAGGTCTTTCAAAAAAAAAAGTGGTGAGATCATGTTAGCTGTGAAACCCCTTTCTCAGTTCAGATGATCGCGTCATTGGGCGGTGATGTTAAGCCATTGGCCTTGTCTCCTTCATCCTTGTACTTCAGTTGGAAGGGGACGTAAAAGAACCTGTGACATTATTCGAAAAAAGTAGTGGACATCGGCCCCGATGTCATGGTCTATCTGACTTGTTCCGTCATCAGTCTGGGTGGGCGAGGTGTGATCAAAACATGGACTGAAGTGGCTGCAAGAGTGCGCCTTTACATCCCCAATTCAGCCATTGGCTGCAAGTGGGGAAAGTTGGCACTGTTTATTTTTTTTTATTTTTCATGATATATTTCCATCCTTAGTACATCCAGGAAAGGCCAGGTAGATCTATTATTATCATAAATATTACTGTTATTGTTGGTGTTATTATTGTTTACTCTTGTTATACAATCATTGTTATTCCCTGTCCTCATTATTTGTGTGTTGTTTGACTGGTCAGTATAACTCAGCCAAAAAAAAGGTTGGTACAGTTAGGTGTACTTTGTGGCTGGCACTATCAAAACAAATCATACCCTGCAGTTGTAATAGATTGTGACAGCAGTATACTAATTTATCATTTTTTAAAAACTGTTTTTAAATTTTCCTTTGAAAAATTGTTTAAAATTATTTTAAAAAGTTTATTAAAATATTCCTTATCTATTTACTGTTTGATCTTTTTTGTGACAACAACAACTGTTCTCCTCCCCCCCCCCCCCATTTTTCCCCCCCCCCCCCCCCCTCCATACTGAAATCCAAAAATATACAGCTATTTTGAGAAAGGTTGTCGGACAAAGTGCACGCGACAATCCCGAAAGGTATTGTGGGTAGTTTTAAATTCATTGTTCTTTAAAGAAGTCTAAAAGAATGACACAAGAGGCCATGGACTTATGTTTGCGAGTGCTAAAAGAAAACAGCAAAAGTAGGTTCGACAGCTACAGTGTCAGAAACAGTGTGTTGATCATATCCCATATTACCTTTTAGGATTGTTGGGTGCACAATTTTTCCAACAGCCTTTCTTGAAATAGCTGTATATTGATATATACATGTATGTTGTGGTTCAATTTTATCCTTGGTCTACATGTAAATTTTATTTTCTTTTGTTTTAACTCATTATCATGCATTACCATACCCAAAAACC